TCAAAATACAACTCAAATCTCATTTCAAAAACTAAACCAAGCAGAACCTTAAGATTTGACTCTTGTAATGAAATAACTTTTTTATTTTATTAATTTAAATTTTAATATTTTGATTTATTTTTAATTTAAATCATTCAACTATTTTTTTTTTCAAGTTAAATCGACTGAAAAATAGTATTTTAGCTACTAGGCTCAATGTAAGTGCATATATGAAATACCCTTTGATTAAGTTTAATGACTAAATTATCATTTTTTTTTTATATTTGTTTTACTTAACGAAATGGTTTACATTTAAAACAAATTAAAAGATTAGAGACAATTATAAGATTACAGACTAAGGTCCAATTTGCACAAAAATATAAGCAATTTTGACATTATTTGGATAAATTACATTTACCTCCTTTGTGATTTAGAAAAAATATAGTTAATTTTTAATATAATTACACTAATATTTCTTTTATTAAGGTTAAAGTGACCGAAACTAATATAGATGGTGAATAAATACTAAAATAAATAAAAATAAATATATATTTTAGTAGGAAAAAAAATATGGCAATAATATATTTTTATTCATACGATAATAAATTACTGATAAAAAATGACCTAACTCTTATGTGAATCAAAAAGCCTCAAAAGAGAATGATATAATTATGTTAAAAGTATGAATTAATTGTATTTTTCTCAAACTTTAAATGAGATGGGTGTAATTTTACATAGTTTCATAGATATATACTTGTTTTGAGAAGTATGTTAAAATTTTTTTTTTTATTTTTTTAAAAACTGGCAAAAAAGTAAAAAGGTGTGTGACAAAAGAAAAAAAAAAATCAAAAAGCTATCTTTTAACTCAATTGCCAAAATAATCCATAATCTTATTGGTGACACGAGTTTAATAAGAGAAGTGTTATTAGTATCCCATAAATTATTTTGGATCATCTATTTGTTTGAACCCTTACTTATAAATTTTAAAACCCTTAAAATTTCTTTTTTCCTCCAAATAATACCAAAATTATCCTTAAACATTTCACCCATTGAATGCACACCTCCACGCTCTAAAAAAAACATCTCTTCCAAAAAATCGTAACAAAACCCACTAACGATTTCGTTTGGGAAGTGAGTTGACTTTTTGACTTTTTTGGCTATTTTAGCCTGGGGCTAAAAAGTCTGGTTTGGGAAGAGCTTTTGGCTTTTTTTGTTTTTTGTGAGAGAAAGAATGTAATGATTATAAGTTGGATGTGATGTTTTGTCTTATTGGGCTAAAAAACCTATTTTGTTTTTTTGTGGCTATTTTAACTAAAAAAACCAAAAAACCTTCTTCCCAAACATAGAAGAAGAGTCTCATCCTTCTAAAAACCCACGAAAAAAGATAAAGAAAAAAAATACTGTCTCTGCTGGTTTAACCAACTTCTCATATGATATTTTTCATTATTCTCAAATCCAAACTCTTGATTTGAGCCACAATAATCTTTCAAGGGATGTTCCAATACAAAACTTGTCTATGGTTGTCACCGACCTTATCTTAACCTATCATACAATCACTTATCGGAGATTAAAATCTCCGATTCCCAATTCTTAAAATGGTTTAGTTCTTTGAGTTTTCTTCATTCTAGACTCATCTCAGATCACAGAAAGTTCAAAATCAATGTTCGGTTACCGGTTCCCAAATAAATAAATAATGTTCGGGCCTGTGTTATCGAGAGTTCAGTCTCGAAAAAATGACGAATATATTTTATTATTTTTTTTCAATTTTTTTTTAATAAACTTACCCTTATATGGCTAATCTCCTTTGAGTTAAGAACAACATCAAAGTTATGAACCTCCTCTAAATTTTTATTGTTGTACTCCTCTCGTTTTATGGAGTTATAGTTGTCAGAAAAAGTTTCACTCATTGTCATAGCCAGAAAAATGTAGGTAATTAAATGATTGTCACCGTTCCAATTGGAATATTACCGCCAAAGGGTTTTCAAAGTTTTGAAAGTGGGATTTGGAAAATATGGATGGGTGGTGATGGAGTTGGGTGTTCTCATAAACCCTAATGCATGATATAGTGGGTGTGTAGGCTTAATTGTGAGATAGCATGTCTCAAAATTAATGATGTCCTTTATAGTAATTTTTTTTAAGGTTATTATTGTAATAAAAAAAAGATAAAAATTTAAGGGTCCAAAATAATTTATGGGAATGTTAATAGCAGCACTATTTCCAATTCAATGGGATTGGGAGTGAAAAAGACCTTATTACACCCTATCTTACAAAAATAATAGTCACATTTTATATTATAAGAACTTTTGCGTACACATAAATTTAAGGGCAAATTTCACTTTAACTCCCTATGATTTAGGCCATGTGTGGATTACCACCCTAACGTTTGAATATCACCACATAACCCCCTGTGGTTGATGGAATAAAGTGCACAGTTAATTTTTTCATCTATTCTAACAAGCTGTGCAGTACACGCGAGTGTTGTGCAGTTGGGCATGAACTGATGATGTTCCCTCACAATTAAAAGACCAAAATGCCTCTAGAGTTACAAATAAAAGCTTACCCAAGAGGATTGCTCATGTGTTTCAACTCCTATGTTTATTATTGATTGAATTTGCCAAAAAGTTATGATATTTTATCCTAAAATTCAAACTCTACATAAGATTTCAACTTGCAGAATATAATATAATTCCATAAACGATTACATGAATTTGAAAAGACGAGTGATTTAGAGATCATGCCGAATAAAATCACAAAAATCAAAATCAAGTTCATTCTCTCTCTCTCTCTCTCTATATATATATATGGATCCATTTATGTTTTGTTGTATATAGTGACTCATATATGTATTGGTTGATTAAAGATAGAGCTTCGTGATCGAAATCAATGTATATATATATATGTATATATATAATCTGTAGCTATATATATGTATATATATGTTGGGAATATGGTACAACAATAAAACTGTAGCTATGTGTATATAATCTGTAGCTATATATAATTTGTGACTTTGATTTTTGTATATATGTATATATATAATTCTCTTTGATTTCTCTCTAAAAATTTTAATCTTCTTCGTATATATATATATTAGAAGGTTGTTCTAAGCACAACCTTCTTCAACATTTTACTCACCCCCATCCCTTAAGGTTCACTATAGAAAAGTGATTGGAAGCTAATCTAAGCATAAACCCACCTCAAAAAAAAAAAATTATTCAGAAAAATAAATTTCTCAGCCAACCGAATTCAAATCAATAGGTAAGGTAAAAAAGAAAAAAGAAAAAAAAAAAAAAAAAAAAAAAAATTCTTAGATTGTAGTTTTTTTTTTTTTTTTCTTCTTGAGCTCATTCTTAAATTTTGATTTTCGTGATTTTGTTCAATCGTACAATCTAGTTCTCTCCACCTTCTCTTCTCAGATGCACGACTGTTGGAAGTGAAAATGGTAAGGTTAGATATATATATACAAGGGCAAATTGGTATTTTACGTCTGACATTAACGGTGTTGATTGTGCACTTTACTCTATTAACCACAGGAGAATTATGTGGTGATATTCGAATATTGTGAGAGTAATCTGCACATGGCCTAAACCATAGAGGGGTAAAGTGAAGTTTGCTCAAATCAATTACTAGTACACAAATAAATTCAAATCAATTACTAATACACAAATAAATACAATTTGGATGAGGTAGTTGGTCCAGTAATATATGTAGTTGTCCCTTAAGATAGTAAAAAAATTATAAATTCAAGATTCGTCAATAAAGTTACTATTATCCTTTTATTGTAATCTAACTTACTAACATCCTATTATGTTATCGAAAAATAAAAAATAAAAAAATCATAGATAAATTACAAGTACACTCTGAGATTTGTTTACAATATGAATAGTCCCCTGTGATTTGAAAAATTACAAATACCTCATTGTCATAATTTTTAATTAAAAAATAATTTTTTTAAATATTCTCTTATACAATAAAAAAATTACTTAAATTATTATTTTAAATAAAAATTTGAAATTATTAAAAACTATTAATTCATTGAATGATTTATTAATAAAAGTAATGCTAGGGATCATTAAAAAAATATCATGAAGATGTTCATGAAATATTTTTCACCTTTGGATTACACATACAATAAAACACTACACATTAATCAAATGATGAAAAATTTTCATGAAATATTTCATGAATTTTTTTCATGACCCCTAGTATTATTCTTAATAAAAATGAGTTATTTATTATGAAACTGAAAACTTGAGGAGACGGGATGTAATTTTTAGAACTATACGAGACAACTTATATTTTAAGCAATAGTTTGGCTAACATTTTGGAACTAAATAATCACAAAAAGACAAAATAAGCTATATATGCCAATAAAATAAAGAGTAGTGATTGGGAGCCCGAAAAAGGTTGCCCCTCTCTCTGTGTTTCCCTCTCTCCTCTCCTCTCTCTCTTTCTCCCTCTCTCTCTTTCTCCCTCTCTGCAGGTCGAAAATGGCAGAAAAAAAAAAAGAAGAAAATTTCGAGCCACATTCGAGCCAGACACATTTCGGGCCCTGAAGCATTTTCCTAAAATAAAATATTACTTTTTATCCATAATTATTATATTTTTTTCTCTCACAAAATCAAAAAAATCTCAAAAAAAAAAATCAAACGAGTCTAAAAAAGTCTAAACACAAAAAAACTAATTAAAAAAGTCAATGTCAAACGAATCTAAGTGAATTTTAAAAAATATATTTATAATTTCTCATTTAGTTTATATCTTAACTTTAATACCATAATTTTACAAACAAACAGAGCTTAAAAGAAAAGAAATACCGAAACCTTTCCTTCCGTAGTTTGACCAAATCCTCTTACGCATCGGTTGGCACTTCATTACGCTCCACGTGTACACATACCCTCCACCTCTCGCCACCTCGTCCGTCCACGTGTCACTCTCCCACCTCAACCAACCCCGAAAACCTCGTTTCCCTCTATAAATCCCCCACCTGAAATTCCTCTCACCTCCAGATCTCTCCCTCACTCATGGCCCCCGAAACCGACAACCTCGTCCGGCACCGAGCCAAAGACGAACCCAACATCGATCACAACAACAATAGCAGCAGCAACAACAAAGGAAGAAGACAGAGAAGATCAGCAATGGCGAGACGTGGCATTCGATCATTGGCCATAGCCATAACATTCCCAGTCTCTCTCCACGTCGCTGTCATTATTTTGCTTTCGGGTCGCCACCGGGTCGCACTCAAACCCGTTTGGTTCCCATCTCCATGGATCCTCCACACTATCTTCGTGGGCTCGGCTGCCATTATGGGCCTCTGCGCTTGGTTTGTTTGGGCCGAAGGTGGGTTTCATCGCAAGCCCCAGGCCCTGGCCTTTTTGATGAGCTATCTCGCTCTTAGCGTGGCTTGGGACCCGATTGTGTTCGGGGTGGGTGCTGTGTGGGTCGGGTTGATGGTGAGTGTTGGGATGTTTGGGGCTTTGTTTGGGTGTTCTCGGATCTTCAAGGATATGAATCCGATTGCTGCTGATCTGGTTAAGCTTTGTTTAATATGGGTTGGGTTTGTGATAAGTTTAAATCTTAAGCTTTTGTATTGGTGAAGTGTGTGTGTATGACACGTGTTGTTTGTAAAAGTAATATGCTTTGTAAAACAGTTAGGGTTGTCCTTTTTGTTATTACACAGTTGCATGGTTTAAATGAAATTAATGTTATCCTTTTTGGTACATCGCTTGAATTTTGGTTTTAACAATGATACATTTCATTGGGAGCATTAATAGATCATTAATAAAGTGAAAATTTAAAAAAAAAAAAAAAAATTAAGGTCAAAACATCACATCAGTCAGTGAGACCTACGCTCTATAACTCTTTTAGGGTTGGTTTGGGATGTCCTAAAAAAGTGTACTTTTTAACTTATTGGTGGGTTTGGGTTGGGTTTGCGTTGGGTTTGATGTGATGGGTTAGAGAGGTGATGTGATTTAAATAAGATAGTGACTTTTTGACTTTTTGACTTATTTAGTACATGCCAAACTAGCCTTTAGTTGTCCTAATTTAGAGACATTTTTTTTTTTGATTTTTGGATTTACTCGACTTATATGAATTTTGGTTTGTCGATTATTCGATAACAATTGCGGTTAATAATGGCAACAATACGGTAGATAAGCAGTGAGGGAGACAACTCTTTTAGTTGTCCCAATTTAAAACTTCCAAACATTTTTTTTTTTGATTTTTGATTTACTCGACTTATATGAATTTTGGTTTGTCGATTATTCGATAACAATTGCGGTTAATAATGGCAACAATACGGTAGATAAGCAGTGAGGGAGTCACATGGGGTCAGTGGTCACATGCTCTCTTGGCTTTGGAATTTTTATTTTTATCTTTTTTACATATGCATATAAATAAAAAAATTTAAAAAATAATATTTAAAATAAAATGTCAATGATATTTCTAAAGTTATGAAAATAATAGTAATTATTTTATTGAAAATGAAAGAATTACAACAAATTATATTTTTATGTATGAAAATTTTGTAAAAAAAGTCTCAATATAAAGATAATATCTATCATTATTGATATATAGAATCTCACTATATATATATATATATATGTAAAAGTTACTAAAATGTTAGTTATATTTGCTCGTGAAATTCATCATTCATATGTTGCTTTGTTATCGGTTGATAATATCATATGTCAATGATGACATGATATCATTACTATATGAAATTTTTATTCAAATTTTGTAGGAAATTAATTTATTTTACAATTATATAATTTGTTTTAAGATTTAAATATATGACTTTTTTACGTTGTCCATAATATACTAATTATACGCAATACTTTCTTTTTTATTTTACTTGAAATTAATTGTAAAATTTTATCTAAAATACTTTTGTAATAATTTATTTAAATTTTTATATAATTCAAAAATTATTATTATCTTCTTATTGTTGGTTATGAGAAAAAAATTGAAGTTGTAATTAATAAATGTCCCTTCTAATTTAGTTTTCTGTCTTCTCAGGGCCGACCTTGGGGTGAGGCTACTGAGGCGGTCGCCTCGGGCCCCCAATTTTGAACAAAATTTAGGGCCCCCAATTAGAGGAGTGTATCATGCCATGTTATTTCATAATTATTTTAATATTAACTCAATTTATTTATTTTTATGTTGTCGTGTGGTGTTATTTTGATTCGTGTTCGATTGATGTTTAATGTGAAAACTTTCACTTTTAGTTAAAAATAACTTAGCAAGTGTATTGATAGATTAAAATTTTTCTCATAAGTTGAATTTTATAAAATTTATTTCAACAAAATGAAATTATTCATAGAGTGTTTGATTTTAATTCAATTGCATTTTTCTAATTAAAAAAATTGTACCTTATTATTATATATTTTTTATTAGATTGACTCTGAAATAGGTAACAAAAAAATATATATCTTAAATGAAAAAAGATATTAGCCTTAATTATTATTTTACATACTTTTTTATTCAGTTAGATAGAGTTAAATAAAAGATTAAAAAAATGTTATGGCATCCCTTAGTGAACATTCAAATATATAACTAATAATTCATGTTATTGAGTTGTGTCATACTTGGATTCATATTGAAAATAATCAACCTTAACTTGCTAATTTTATATATTGCTTGAGTTGTGTCGAAAATTCTCATCCTTAATCCCAATTAATTTTTGTTCTTATAGCATTGGAAAGCTAAAAAATAAAGATTCGATTCAACTAATTGAAATTCAACTATTATATATATATATATATATATATTTGTTATCTAAATTTTATTAAATTGTAATGCAATAGAAATAAATTTTTATCTTTTTTGTTTTATCCAAACAAAATATTTTTTTTTTTAGATAATGATATATGAAGGACCCAATTTAAAAAATTCATCTTAAACCCCTAATAAGCCAGGGCCGACCCTGATTAAATCGACATTGTAGTATGTAAAAAATTGTTATTTTAGCTAGAAATGCTATGTCGGACTATGAAGTTGTTTACATCTAGATTCTCAAAGAGTCAAATATATATATATATATATATATATATATTATGATGGTGGTGGTGTATTTATTTGAGAACTTTGTAGTAAAAACACATATGCACAAAGAAAATATTGATTATTAAAAGGGAAAATTGGAAGTCTGGTAAGACTAAAAAAATTATGAAAGCTGATCACTTTAAATTTTATCGTTAATTTGAAATTTATTTTGAAAATTTATATTGAATTGTAAATTTTTTTTTATTAAAACTACTATTTTTTACATTTCTTTATAGTTTGAAATGTAAATAAATGTAACACATTAGTGATTTCGGTGATTTGAGATTTTTTTTTGACAATTGTGATAGTGTTGTTTAAGAATTTTAACAATGTCAACAAGTTTTAAAAAAAGAAAAAGAAATGTTATATATTTGGATTATTACTGTCATTTAATCAGTTAATTTGGGGTGCAGCTCTCAATTTTTCATGAGATTGAGTTGTATCATATGTGAGATTCAACCTTCACTTTCACATGCGTGAGTTATCCAGATTCTTGTATTTATTTATTTATTTATTTATTTATTTATTTATTTTTTTTTTATGTGGACTTTTACCAAATTCTTGTTATTTTTATTTTTATTTTTATTTTTTTATTTTATTTTATGTGGACTTTTATACGTTTCGGTGGACATAAAATTTAATTCTATGGCCTAATTCGAAAACAAAGGCACTCCAAATTTAACTTCCATTAATTTTAACCTTGATTTTTCATTTATGTCAATCCTAGCACTCCCATAATTTTGTAAAATTTGTATTTCTTCTTCATCCGTTGTTCTCTCCGTCTAATAATTTTCACCACGTATAAAATATTTCTACTAACTTTGAAATAATGTTATCACACTATTAAACTGGCTAAAAATACCTTATATATAAAATATATTTTTAAAAAAATCATCAATAATCACCATAATGATTACCAGACTTTCAATTTGTTTATGTCAAATTTCATTTTTTATGATTTTAATATACAAAAAATCAATTACACATCATCTGAGAGGGTAATCTATATCTAAATTGGGTCGAGCTAAGGAGGAGACTTCCTTGGGAATTGGGCTGCACGACGGACCGAGGTAAGAGCAGATGTATTTCAGTCTAAGGACTAAACGAATATGGGCCGAGGTTAGTGGGCTTCACAACCTGGACCTAGCATCTGTTAGGCCAGTCAAAGGGCCGAGCTAGCTAGGTATTATGCATGGGGGAATGCTGAGCTAGCTAGGAATTGTGCATAGTCGCGCTGAGATAAGGACGCCGTTTTGCATAGTTAGCTCGGTCTTAAGTTACTAGCTCTGTTGAAATATGTCAAACCGAGGTACAAACAGAGAAAGGAAGGACCGAGCTAGGCATAGCTCGGTCTAAACTGTCATTTTAGCATGGCAATACTAGCTCGGTCGTTTGGTCATACCACCGAGCTAGGACCATCTCACTTGGTTTATGCAGTGAGGGGGGTGTGAAAGGATAAGCATTATCTTTCAAGAGTGTGATTTGTAGGAGGACTCTGCATGGAGGAATAAGAGTCCTACTAGGATTGTGCCACACGAAACTTATAAAAGCTCACAACATCACCTGTGGAGAGGTAACACAACTTTGATTCTCGAATACACAGATCTTTTGTCTATTTGTCTATTTTGCTGACTTAGGTATCGGAGAGGTATCCGGCACACACCCGCCGGCTAGCTCACGTTTGTGCTTTCAGGGAGTAAAGCGACGACGTTTGGAGGAGCGCAAACTTGATCAACAGGATTATAGGAGGACATTATTTCTTGCTCGTACAATTGGCGCCGTCTGTGGAAATTGCAATCATAAAGAACAAAACCTCTTGATCAAGCTTTTCTCTCTAGTTGAGATCGATGGCGCACAATGAAGACTTGCCGCAATCAGCCATTGATGGGCAAACCCCAGAGGGGGATAAGAGGCGCCAAGGTTTGTCTCTTGTCCCTCCAATGGCGGATTTAGAACCCCAGCGACAGAACCCCTAGAGGAATGCAAAGGAAAGGTGGGCTAACAGCCCCCGTCGCTCTCAGAGTCCTGAGCGATAGAGGAGAATGATGGATCCTCAAATTCTGGAAGATCGCGTAAAGGAGCAGGACGAGTTAATAAGGAGGATGACGGCAGATATGGAGTTGATTAAGCGTTAGATAAAAGGAAAAGAGGTGGCAACAGGAGAGGGGCACAAAGGCAACAGGCCCCTTCGCCACTCGGAAGATCATGGTAGGCATACCACACCATCGCAAGCAGAGAGTAGGAGCCTTAGAACAGGCGACACGCAAGCAAGGACGTCCATGACTCGTTACTCCAGGTCTGAGGGAACGAGGACTGAGAGGTCATATACTGAAGGAAGCACCTATCAGCCCTCGCGCACGCACCAGACGTCATCCAAGCAGACGGAGTTGCCCAGATCGTCTAATTTGCGAACTGTGCTTAAAGAAAGGGCACGATGGAAGGAGGATGTCAGGGCGCGCGACTCGCACAGAGTTTCAGCCCTTTAGCGGTTAGCCCATCGGACGCATGGGAGCGTCGAGGTAGGAATGCCAATGCGGCACCTTGCTTACGAACC